ATCCAGTTTTTTTTTTAATTTTAATCTGATTTTTCAACAAAAAAATTATGAAAAAAAAAAAAAATTAAATTTCAATCTATTTTCAATCCGATTTTTTCAAAATTTCAATCCAATTTCTCAGAAAAAAAATTGATAAAAATTTGTTGTTTTTCTTGAAATTTCAATCTCTTCTCAATTTAAAATTTCAATCTGATTTTTTTCAAAATTTCAATCCGATTCTTCAAAAAATAAATAAAAAGATTTGATTTTTTTCTTGAAATTTCAATCTCTTTTCAATCCAAAATTTCAATCCAGTTTTTTTTTTTAATTTTAATCTGATTCTTCAACAAAAAAATTATGAAAAAAAAAAAAAAAATTAAATTTCAATCTAAGTTTTCAATCCGATTTTTTCAAAATTTCAATCCAATTTCACAGAAAAAAATTGATAAAAATTTGTTGTTTTTCTTGAAATTTCAATCTCTTCTCAATTTAAAATTTCAATCTGATTTTTTTCAAAATTTCAATCCGATTCTTCAAAAAATAAATAAAAAGATTTGATTTTTTTCTTGAAATTTCAATCTCTTTTCAATTCAAAATTTCAATCCAGTTTTTTTTTTAATTTTAATCTGATTTTTCAACAAAAAAATTATGAAAAAAAAAAAAAAATTAAATTTCAATCTATTTTCAATCCGATTTTTTCAAAATTTCAATCCAATTTCTCAGAAAAAAAATTGATAAAAATTTGTTGTTTTTCTTGAAATTTCAATCTCTTCTCAATTTAAAATTTCAATCTGATTTTTTTCAAAATTTCAATCCGATTCTTCAAAAAATAAATAAAAAGATTTGATTTTTTTCTTGAAATTTCAATCTCTTTTCAATCCAAAATTTCAATCCAGTTTTTTTTTTTAATTTTAATCTGATTCTTCAACAAAAAAATTATGAAAAAAAAAAAAAAATTAAATTTCAATCTAAGTTTTCAATCCGATTTTTTCAAAATTTCAATCCAATTTCACAGAAAAAAATTGATAAAAATTTGTTGTTTTTCTTGAAATTTCAATCTCTTCTCAATTTAAAATTTCAATCTGATTTTTTTCAAAATTTCAATCCGATTCTTCAAAAAATAAATAAAAAGATTTGATTTTTTTCTTGAAATTTCAATCTCTTTTCAATTCAAAATTTCAATCCAGTTTTTTTTTTAATTTTAATCTGATTTTTCAACAAAAAAATTATGAAAAAAAAAAAAAATTAAATTTCAATCTATTTTCAATCCGATTTTTTCAAAAGTTCAATCCGATTTCTCAGAAAAAAATTGATAAAAATTTGTTTTTTTTCTTGAAATTTCAATCTCTTCTCAATTTAAAATTTCAATTTGATTTTTTTCAAAATTGCAATCCGATTCTTCAACAAATAAATAAAAAGATTTCATTTTTTTCTTGAAATTTCAACCTCTTCACAATCCAAAATTTCAACCCAATTTTTTTTTTTTAATTTCAATCTGATTCTTTAACAAAAAAATAAATTTTTTTTTTTAAATTTCAATCTCTTTTCAATCCGATTTTTTCAAAATTTCAATCCAATTTCTCAGAAAAAAATTGATAAAAATTTGTTTTTTTTTCTTGAAATTTCAATCTCTTCTCAATTTAAAATTTCAATTTGATTTTTTTCAAAATTTCAATCCGATTCTTCAACAAATAAATAAAAAGATTTCATTTTTTTCTTGAAATTTCAACCTCTTCACAATCCAAAATTTCAACCCAATTTTTTTTTTTTAATTTCAATCTGATTCTTTAACAAAAAAATAAATTTTTTTTTTTAAATTTCAATCTCTTTTCAATCCGATTTTTTCAAAATTTCAATCCAATTTCTCAGAAAAAAATTGATAAAAATTTGTTGTTTTTCTTGAAATTTCAATCTCTTCTCAATTTAAAATTTCAATTTTTTTTTCTTCAAAATTTCAATCCGATTCTTTAACAAATAAATAAAAAAAATTGATTTTTTTCTTGAAATTTCAATCTCTTTTCAATCCAAAATTTCAATCCAGTTTTTTTTTTTAATTTTAATCTGATTCTTCAACAAAAAAATTATGAAAAAAAAAAAAAATTAAATTTCAATCTATTTTCAATCCGATTTTTTCAAAATTTCAATCCAATTTCACAGAAAAAAATTGATAAAAATTTGTTGTTTTTCTTGAAATTTCAATCTCTTCTCAATTTAAAATTTCAATCTGATTTTTTTCAAAATTTCAATCCGATTCTTCAAAAAATAAATAAAAAGATTTGATTTTTTTCTTGAAATTTCAATCTCTTTTCAATCCAAAATTTCAATCCAGTTTTTTTTTTTAATTTTAATCTGATTCTTCAACAAAAAAATTATGAAAAAAAAAAAAAATTAAATTTCAATCTATTTTCAATCCGATTTTTTCAAAATTTCAATCCAATTTTTCAGAAAAAAATTGATAAAAATTTGTTGTTTTTCTTGAAATTTCAATCTCTTCTCAATTTAAAATTTCAATCTGATTTTTTTCAAAATTTCAATCCGATTCTTCAACAATTAAATAAAAAGATTTAATTTTTTTCTTGAAATTTCAACCTCTTCACAATCCAAAATTTCAATCCGATTTTTTCACAAATTCAATCCTATTTCTCAGAAAAAATAAATAAAAATTTATATTTTTTCCTGAAATTTCAATGTTTTCACAATTTGACATTTCGATCCGATTTTCTTAAAATTTCAATCTCTTCTCAATCCAAAATTGCAATCCAGTTTTTTTTTTTAATTTTAATCTGATTTTTCAACAAAAAAATTATTAAAAAAAAAAATTTCATTTTAATTTATTAGAAAATAAAATTAAATAAATGTGTTTTTTTTTTTGAAATTTCAATCCAATTTTTCTAAAAACTTGAATCCAATTTCTCAAAAAGAAAAATTTCAATCTCTTCTCAATCTAAAATTTCAATCCGATTTTTTTTTAAATTTCAATCCGATTTCGAGAATATTTTTTTTTCTTGAAATTCTAATCTTTTCACAATTAAAAATTTCAATCCGATTTCTCAAATTTTCAATTTCTTAAATTTCAATCCGAGTTTTTAAATTTCAATTCGATATTTCAGAAAAAAAATTGATAAAAATTTGTTTTTTTTTCTTGAAATTTCAATCTCTTCTCAATTTAAAATTTCAATTTGATTTTTTTCAAAATTTCAATCCGATACTTTAACAAATAAATAAAAAAAATTGATTTTTTTCTTGAAATTTCAATCTCTTTTCAATCCAAAATTTCAATCCAGTTTTTTTTTAATTTCGTAATCTGATTTTTCAACAAAAAAATTATGAAAAAAAAAAAAAAATTAAATTTCAATCTATTTTCAATCCGATTTTTTCAAAATTTCAATCCAATTTCTCAGAAAAAAATTGATAAAAATTTGTTGTTTTTCTTGAAATTTCAATCTCTTCTCAATTTAAAATTTCAATCTGATTTTTTTCAAAATTTCAATCCGATTCTTCAAAAAATAAATAAAAAGATTTGATTTTTTTCTTGAAATTTCAATCTCTTTTCAATCCAAAATTTCAATCCAGTTTTTTTTTTTAATTTTAATCTGATTCTTCAACAAAAAAATTATGAAAAAAAAAAAAAAATTAAATTTCAATCTATTTTCAATCCGATTTTTTCAAAATTTCAATCCAATTTCACAGAAAAAAATTGATAAAAATTTGTTGTTTTTCTTGAAATTTCAATCTCTTCTCAATTTAAAATTTCAATCTGATTTTTTTCAAAATTTCAATCCGATTCTTCAACAAATAAATAAAAAGATTTAATTTTTTTCTTGAAATTTCAACCTCTTCACAATCCAAAATTTCAATCCGATTTTTTTTTTTTAATTTCAATCTGATTCTTTAACAAAAAAATATTTTTTTTTTTTTTTTGAAATTTCAATCTCTTTTCAATCCGATTTTTTCAAAATTTCAATCCAATTTCACAGAAAAAAATTGATAAAAATTTGTTGTTTTTCATGAAATTTCAATCTCTTCTCAATTTAAAATTTCAATCTGATTTTTTCAAAATTTCAATCCGATTCTTCAACAAATAAATAAAAAGATTTCATTTTTTTCTTGAAATTTCAACCTCTTCACAATCCAAAATTTCAATCCGATTTTTTTACAATTTCAATCCAATTTCACAGAAAAAAAATTGATAAAAATTTGTTTTTTTTTCTTGAAATTTCAATTTGATTTTTGAAAATTTCAATCCAATTCCTCAAAAAAAATTTCAATCCGAATTTTTCAAAATTTTAATCCGATTTCTCAAAAAAAAATTAATAGGAATTGTTTTTTTTCTTGAAATTTCAATCTCTTTTTAATGCATAATTTCAATCTGATTTTTCGGAAATTTCAATCCGATTTCTCAGAATTTTTATATTTTTTCCAAAAATGATATCAACTCACATTTTGCTTCATAACTTTCTTAATTTGGATCCGATTTTGATGAAACTAGGCTCAAATTGAAGCCGATTGAATTCTCTACAAACCTATACAAAGAAACATCATGTCGATATCGATCTTTGGAGGAAATTAATTAGCACAGTGACGTGCACTCACTTTTTCTCTATAGTCCAAAAAAAAAATTACATCGACATACATTTTGCCTCATAACTTTCTTAATTTCAATCCGATTATGACGTAATTAGTCTCAAATTGAAGCTGATTGAATTTTCTACAAACCCATATAAAGAAACATCATGTCGATATCGATATTTGGAGAAAATTGATTAGCACAGTGACGTGCACTCACTTTTTCTCTATAGTCAAAATTTAAAAAAAAATGACATCAAGACACATTTTGCCTCATAACTTTCTTAATTTCAATCCGATTTTGACGTAATTAGTCTCAAAATGAAGCTGATTAAATTCTCTACAAACCCATATAAAGAAATATTGAGAAACTTGACCCAAAAACCTCGAAAAATCCGTTTTAAAATCACCAAGCGAGGAAAAATTCTAACCTCAAAATCGTGGAAACAACTCACCTCTTTGGCGGAAAGAAACTCCAAAAGCGGAAAGACCAAATGGCGGTCCAAATACTGGCCGATTTTCGGCGTCAAATCGAATTTCGCCATAATTTTCACTTTTCTTTCTAACTTGGGAAAACACACTTTTTCACACCAAAAAATATAAAAAAGGAAGAAGAAAATTCCAATTGACGTAAACAAACGTCAAACTTCAAAAAAGACAATTTCGTTTTCTGACATTATTGACATATCTTGACGTCAATCTAATATAGAATTCTATTTATCGTAATTTCTGTTCCAATTTTACTGAATTCTGCACTAAGTGCAACAATTAATTTGATTATTGCACTGAAATTTGTATCTGCTCTAGTTGCACCAATTGTTCCGATTTTGCAATAAGTGCAAGAAAAATTCTACTTTATTGTTCGCGATTCAATAGAATTCTATTTATCGTGATTTGAAAAAAATCGATTGCAAAAGTTGACTTGAATTATGGAACACGATAAATAGAATTCTATTTATAGAAAGTTTCTTTTTTTCTCTTTTGAAATGGGATTTCCGACATAGATAAAATAGAATTCTATTTATCGATATTTTGGATTAATTTGCACCAACTGTTCCAATTTTATTGAATACTGCACTAAGTGCACCAATTAATCTTTTTGAAATATGTATCTGCTCTAGTTGCACTAAACTGTTCTGACTTTGCAATAAGTGCGAGAAAAATTCTACTTTATTGTTCGCGATTCAATAGAATTCTATTTATCGTAATTTGAAAAAAATCGATTTTAAAAGTTGACTTGAATTTTGGAACACAATAAATAGAATTCTATTCACACAAAGTTTCTTTTTTTTCGTTTGAAATGGGATTTCCGGCATGGATAAAATAGAATTCTATTTATCGTACTTTCAGTATCGATATTTTGGAATAATTTGCACCAACTGTTCCAATTTTATTGAATGTGCACTAAGTGCACCAATTAATCATTTTGAAATATGTATCTGCTCTAGTTGCACTAAACTGTTCTGACTTTGCAATAAGTGCGAGAAAAATTCTACTTTATTGTTCGCGATTCAATAGAATTCTATTTATCATGATTTGAAAAAATCGATTTTAAAAATTGACTTGAATTATGGAACACGATAAATAGAAATAAATAGAATTCTCTTTACACAAAGTTTCTTTTTCTCGTTTGAAATGGGATTTCTGTCATTGATAAAATAGAATTCTATTTCTCGTAATTTCAGTATCGATATTTTGGATTAATTTGCACCAATTGTTCCCATTTTATTGAATACTGCACTGAGTGCACCAATTAATCTTTTTGAAATATGTATCTGCTCTAGTTGCACTAAACTGTTCTGACATTGCAATTAGTGCGAGAAAAATTCTAATTTATTGTTCTAATAATTCGCGATAAATAGAATTCTATTTATCGTGATTTGAAAAAATCGATTTTGAAAGTTGACTTGAATTTTGGAACACGATAAATAGAATTCTATTTACACAAAGTTTCTTTTTTCGTTTGAAATGGGATTTCCGGTATGGATAAAATAGAATTCTATTTATCGTAATTTCAGTAGCGATATTTTGGATTAATATCGATATATTTTTTCAAAATATCGATTTCAAAGAAAAAAAACATCGAGCCCTGATTTTGCACTAACTGTTCTAACTTTGCACTAAGTGCAAGAAAGTGTCTAATTTTATGTTCTAATAGTTCTCAATTGAATAGAATTCTACTTATCGCAATTAGAAAAAAAATTCTATTGCAAGTTTCGTTTCAAAAAATAAATAGAATTCTATTCAAACACAATTTCTTGCACTGATTCTGCACTAACTGTTCTAACTTTGCTCTTAGACTTATGTGTAAAAAATTATTTACAGTTATGTTCACATGTCAAAAAAATTGACAGCTGTCATTTTGACCATTTTACTATCGTAAAAAGTGACAAAGAGATGTCAGAAAAATTTTGAGATAAAATGCGTTCGAGAGCTGACGCCCTAATTTGTCAAAATCAATTTTGATATTTGACACCTGTCAATTTTTTTTTCTTTAAATTTTGCGAATATTATAATTTCGTGATAGATATGTGAAAAAAATTGACAAGTGTCATTTTGTCTATGTTTTCCCCGAAAAAAGTAATAAAGAGATGTCAGAAAAATTCGAGATAAAGTGCGTTCAAGAACTGACGTACTAATCTGTCAAAATCGATTTTGACATTTGATACCTGTCAAATTTTTTTCTTTTAATTTTTCGAATAATATATGTAATAGATATTTAAATTTTTTTTTAAAACTTTTTGGTCCTATTAAAAAATTTGACAGGTGTCATTTTGTCTTTCCACGAAAAAGTGACAAGGAAATGTCAGAAAAATTCTAGATAAAGTGCGTTCGATAGCTGAAGTCCTAATTTGTCAAAATCAATTTTGACATTTGACACTTGTCAAATTTTTTTCTTTTATTTTTTCGAATAATATATGTGATGGATATGTAAAAAAAAGTTTAAAATTTTTTGGACCTGTCAAAAAATTTGATAAGTGTCATTTTCTCTATGTTTTCCTCGAAAAAAGCGACAAGAAGATGTCAGAAAAATTCAAAATAAAGTGCGTTCGACAGGTGACGTCCTAATCTGTTAAAATCGATTTTGACATTTGACACCTGTCAAATTTTTTTCTTTTAATTTTTCGAATAATCTATGTAATAGATATTTAAATTTTTTTTAAAACTTTTTGGTCCTATTAAAAAATTTGACAGGTGTCATTTTGTCTTTCCACGAAAAAGTGACAAGGAAATGTCAGAAAAATTCTAGATAAAGTGCGTTCGATAGCTGAAGTCCTAATTTGTCAAAATCAATTTTGACATTTGACACTTGTCAAATTTTTTTCTTTTATTTTTTCGAATAATATATGTGATGGATATGTAAAAAAAAGTTTAAAATTTTTTGGACCTGTCAAAAAATTTGATAAGTGTCATTTTCTCTATGTTTTCCTCGAAAAAAGCGACAAGAAGATGTCAGAAAAATTCAAAATAAAGTGCGTTCGACAGGTGACGTCCTAATCTGTTAAATTCGATTTTGACATTTGACACCTGTCAAATTTTTTTCTTTTAATTTTTCGAATAATATATGTAATAGATATTTAAATTTTTTTTTAAACTTTTTGGTCCTATTAAAAAATTTGACAGGTGTCATTTTGTCTTTCCACGAAAAAGTGACAAGGAAATGTCAGAAAAATTCTAGATAAAGTGCGTTCGATAGCTGAAGTCCTAATTTGTCAAAATCAATTTTGACATTTGACACTTGTCAAATTTTTTTCTTTTATTTTTTCGAATAATATATGTGATGGATATGTAAAAAAAAGTTTAAAATTTTTTGGACCTGTCAAAAAATTTGATAAGTGTCATTTTCTCTATGTTTTCCTCGAAAAAAGCGACAAGAAGATGTCAGAAAAATTCAAAATAAAGTGCGTTCGACAGGTGACGTCCTAATCTGTTAAAATCGATTTTGACATTTGACACCTGTCAAATTTTTTTCTTTTAATTTTTCGAATAATCTATGTAATAGATATTTAAATTTTTTTTAAAACTTTTTGGTCCTATTAAAAAATTTGACAGGTGTCATTTTGTCTTTCCACGAAAAAGTGACAAGGAAATGTCAGAAAAATTCTAGATAAAGTGCGTTCGATAGCTGAAGTCCTAATTTGTCAAAATCAATTTTGACATTTGACACTTGTCAAATTTTTTTCTTTTATTTTTTCGAATAATATATGTGATGGATATGTAAAAAAAAGTTTAAAATTTTTTGGACCTGTCAAAAAATTTGATAAGTGTCATTTTCTCTATGTTTTCCTCGAAAAAAGCGACAAGAAGATGTCAGAAAAATTCAAAATAAAGTGCGTTCGACAGGTGACGTCCTAATCTGTTAAATTCGATTTTGACATTTGACACCTGTCAAATTTTTTTCTTTTAATTTTTCGAATAATATATGTAATAGATATTTAAATTTTTTTTTAAACTTTTTGGTCCTATTAAAAAATTTGACAGGTGTCATTTTGTCTTTCCACGAAAAAGTGACAAGGAAATGTCAGAAAAATTCTAGATAAAGTGCGTTCGATAGCTGAAGTCCTAATTTGTCAAAATCAATTTTGACATTTGACACTTGTCAAATTTTTTTCTTTTATTTTTTCGAATAATATATGTGATGGATATGTAAAAAAAAGTTTAAAATTTTTTGGACCTGTCAAAAAATTTGATAAGTGTCATTTTCTCTATGTTTTCCTCGAAAAAAGCGACAAGAAGATGTCAGAAAAATTCAAAATAAAGTGCGTTCGACAGGTGACGTCCTAATCTGTTAAAATCGATTTTGACATTTGACACCTGTCAAATTTTTTTCTTTTAATTTTTCGAATAATCTATGTAATAGATATTTAAATTTTTTTTAAAACTTTTTGGTCCTATTAAAAAATTTGACAGGTGTCATTTTGTCTTTCCACGAAAAAGTGACAAGGAAATGTCAGAAAAATTCTAGATAAAGTGCGTTCGATAGCTGAAGTCCTAATTTGTCAAAATCAATTTTGACATTTGACACTTGTCAAATTTTTTTCTTTTATTTTTTCGAATAATATATGTGATGGATATGTAAAAAAAAGTTTAAAATTTTTTGGACCTGTCAAAAAATTTGATAAGTGTCATTTTCTCTATGTTTTCCTCGAAAAAAGCGACAAGAAGATGTCAGAAAAATTCAAAATAAAGTGCGTTCGACAGGTGACGTCCTAATCTGTTAAATTCGATTTTGACATTTGACACCTGTCAAATTTTTTTCTTTTAATTTTTCGAATAATATATGTAATAGATATTTAAATTTTTTTTTAAACTTTTTGGTCCTATTAAAAAATTTGACAGGTGTCATTTTGTCTTTCCACGAAAAAGTGACAAGGAAATGTCAGAAAAATTCTAGATAAAGTGCGTTCGATAGCTGAAGTCCTAATTTGTCAAAATCAATTTTGACATTTGACACTTGTCAAATTTTTTTCTTTTATTTTTTCGAATAATATATGTGATGGATATGTAAAAAAAAGTTTAAAATTTTTTGGACCTGTCAAAAAATTTGATAAGTGTCATTTTCTCTATGTTTTCCTCGAAAAAAGCGACAAGAAGATGTCAGAAAAATTCAAAATAAAGTGCGTTCGACAGGTGACGTCCTAATCTG